CCATTTGCAAGTAAAGATCAATTTTTTTTTTTAAATGTTCCATGTATGTGAATGGGTATTATTTGCAAAGAGAATTTTCACTACATATGCTAAGTGAAAATGCCCATGAAAGTGAAAATTAACTTTGCAAAGAGAAAATTCACTCTGCAAGGTGAACTTACTCTAGTACTTTAGTTAATCAACCCCAAGTAATCATGTGAAAAACCTCTATAAAATGCATTAAAGTAAACATGTGGTCAGGGTATTGACTTTCGAGAATTTAATATTCTGAACATGTAATACATTCGCTTTAAAAAAAGCCCTCACTGACCTCTTAGCTTCAGGCACTGTGAACCAATACATCCAAGTTCATATTAAAAACACTTATAAAGTACAGAAGTCATGTTCTAGCTGGTTTCTTAGCAACCTTTATTCTAATGTACAGTATACACATACCAGGTTTTTATATAAAAACTATTTCTTTACATTTGTCATCCTGTGTTCAATCTTAGTGCTGCTGACCTTCTGCAGCCATTTTTTGTTTCCATGTATACACTCCAGTGATGGCTGAATGGCATAAATCTGGTAGGTTTCCTGTGGACCATGCCTGTGTAAAGTGTTGAAATGACCACTTGCTTCCATTAGAAGTCTGTATGATGGGTTTTCAAACACAAGAACACAGTTTGGAGACTTAGCATTGCTATCTTCTAACTGGAAGTACCTGAACAAGGACCTTTATGGCAAGATCACCAGGTAATATTTTAATGAAATCTGTGAATTTTAAGTGAGCCTGTGCATAGGTTATGCACACTAAAGTATTTACAATACGATACCTAAAAGTAAAAGCTCAATAGACAGCCCTCATTCCTTCTGTAACTATAGGTATCGTGGAGAAAAAATCTATCTTCAAAGTTCACAACAGAAACACTGAAACTGTAGCTTCTTTCCTGTTACTTTCTATTTCAGCAGAACCCTGGCAGCCTTCTAAAATAAAGACGAAGGAGTTTCTGAGTTGTTAGTAACAGACTGAAGTCCCAGCCTTAGATTGCTTATCTCTGAGGATCTTCAAGAATAATTTAGTTTACAGTATATGCAGCTAGATAGGTCAGTGACGTCCTGTTTTCAAGTTGTTTTACTGCCTAAAGTAGAACTCTCCCAAAAAAACTTAATATGTTATTTAATTCCCAGGAGACCGATTGCATATAGCGCTTGGTCCAGTTCTGATTGGTGGTCCTGTTGTCCCCTAAATGCACCTCTTTATGGTCCACTATATGCTGAAGTATTTCTGTCAAGGAGGAGATACAGCCAGCACAGCGCCCCTACCCCCTGTCACGATCGCGGCGTCAGACCCCAGACCTTCTCACTAAACTCGTGACCGAATGACTGACCAATCGGAAATCGCGATGTGACATGCGTAACCTTGCTGCACCCTGCACAGCGATTTTCCAGCTAATGGACTACAATCTGTGCCTGCAGCCTGGATGTGCTTGTTACTGGGTCAGGTTAATCACGCAATTAACCATTCACTGCTACCACCTCCTTTTTGGTACAGAGAAAGAGGAAACTCGGCTTCTGCTATGACACTGTAATGGTCGATATAATCGTCTGTATAAAACGGTCATAACACAGGTCTTTTATACAGAGGGTTAAACAAACAGTAGCGTCTCTTTAAAGGCAGGGATTCGTAATTGCAATTAAAAGCTATAGAAACAGTTCAACACTTTCAGAAAGGAAGATTTATTACTAAAAGGTCAAACAGGGTGCAATAAAAATATTTACAGAAAAAAAGATGTAACTAAGATATATATATATATATATATACACAAAGAACCATAGCACAGCAAAGAGATATCAGAGAGAAAGGGAAGAGTTAAAGTACTTGCCCAAAGTCCTCGGTCAGCAGATCCAAGTTGCAGAGCAGAAGCGGGATTTGATCTCCATATGTTACAATGGAAAGATAGGAGATGTCTTCAACTTACTTCTTTAGGCCTGCTAGCCTGTTTTTTAAAGTCCCCCAGCAGGGGGGTGGCTCTGAGTAACTGACCAATACTCTGTTTAGGGAGGGATTGGCAGGCAGAACCCAAAATTAGAACCAGCATCTTTCATAATTCATTTTGGCCTATAACTTCCCAGCTGCACAAGCGACAATCTCTCTGCGGGTATTTTATTATGCAGATAAGTCTAAGGATCATGTAGATATGAATTATGAAATTGTACGTTACACAGTGTACGAGTTCTATGTTTTGGCTCCCCTGATAATCTGAGGTGGACGAGTGACCCATCAAAATGTTTGTCTGCGCATTGGCCATCTGCTGAGATGGCCCAGTTTCTATGTAAGTCTTCCATATTTCAAGATATGAAACATAGGGGAAAAACTGATTTTACCAGAAGTTATCTGATCCTGCCACCTACGCTGAGCTAGGTTTATGAGGTTACAATTCTTTCAATTCCTGGGAGAGCTGCCTTTTCTCCTTACGAGGTTTGAAATGTTACAGCTTCTGGGACAGTGAGTCTCCAATTCTCTTAGGACAGCTGAGTTAGCCTAGGTGAGAAAGGCTACATTTCCACAGACTGCTAGGCACCAAACTAAGTGCCTTGGCCTGTCAGTGACCCATTACCAGCCACATCTGTCACTGTGTCTCTCAGGAAGGGAGGGGGAAGGAATGAGGGGAGAAAATGGATACCCTTAGCAAGATGGAGTCTGAAACCAAAATAGTAGAACCGCGTCCATCTCGGATGCGCGCGTTTGCGACACCCCCCTCTCTAAGTTGAATGATTTTTACTATTTTGAGTGAACAATCAGCAAACGTTGTTCATTCATAATAGTGAAAGATCACTCAGAGCTGCTGCTCTGACTAATCCATCTACTTATGTCCTTTATGTGTAAAATCCACAGCTTTGAAGGATCTTTTACTATTCTTAATTAACAGGCAGCACTGGTTGTTAATTCATAATAATAACAGTGTGATCTTTTGCAGACGCCTCTTACACATACACAGCACAAAACTACAGTTTGTTCTGATCCTTCACTTTTATGAATGCATGATAAATGCTGTAGGGCTATTGGTATAATAAACACAACCCAGCAGTGCTGATCATTTTTTAAAATGATCCATCTGTTATTTGTTATCCGCCAGCTTGGGCTTTATATATTTAGATGCAGCTGAAGATAGACACACAGCACCGCAGGCTGTGTGATCTTTCTGAATGACAGTTCTGATCTCCTGACTGTCCCCTGCTTTCAGAGCCCCCGGTGGGGAGGGGGGTGGCAGAAAACTGCAGCAGCTGATTTTTAAATTATCCAATGCAGACAAAGGCAATTAAGTATGAATTACATATTTGTAATATTGTAAACAATGGTACACAATTAAGAAGTGGTCAGGGTCAGGTTGCATACTAAGACAAACTAAAATCTGATCCTGACCACTTAGCTGTACATCATTGTAGTGCTGTGACTTCACAGCAGCAGAGGAAGGAATTCATTAATAAATTTGAACTGAGTTGATAAATGTCCCCCCCAATGTATTTAATAGCTTAAAGTTAGACACATATTATGCATAGCCTCATTATGCTGATAAGCATTTTTGCCATACAATTCCTAATAAGTAGAATTGTCCATACCGTACATGTTGTTTTCCTTTTAGGGATTATCAGGATTCAGCTGTGTTTAATACTATTCCCTGCAAAAGGAAATCTCTTATTGCTAATTAAATGTGTTTATTTCCATTTAACCCCCTCCAGTATATGATATATATCCTGTTGTCCATCCATAGTTTAAACATTCAACAATGTCCTTCCTTACAGGAAAGCCTGTACATGATTAACTTTTAAATCAGTCAACAGTTGTGTATTATCAGGGGAAATTCATGAAAGCTGAAATATGGTTAAGTCAACAGAATGTTGTGAATGAGACTGGGATAGTTTGCATGCAATAGAAAAACTTTGTTAGTACTGATTTAGTTCTACTGACCTCTCTTCACATTGATATTTATAATGGAACATCATTTAATGTAGTTATATTGTACATATGGTACAGCGCTAAAATACTAAATAAACAATATTAAATAATACAATATTAGTGGAACTAAAAAAGGTCCTATAGGATCTAAAATAAAGTGCAAAATATAAAGTGCAACTGGGTGAATGAATCCAATGGGTCACAAAGTCAGACCCTATATAAAGTGAAAAAATGATAAACAACCCAATCCCAGAAAATGGGATAATACACACACCAATTGTGCCAGAAAAGTGAATCCCAATAATGGGATAAATAATAAAGTGACCAGTGCTTATTCACAATACACACAGTGACAATAAATAATCTAAAAAATATTCAAAAGCAATATATATGTGTGGTGAGACAATCAATAATAAATATATGCAGTGTAAAAAATCAAATGCTGTGGACAGATCCAAAGATCGCGTACAATAAAGCAGCAAATGTCCAATCAAGTCCAATAAACTGGTGCCGTGCGATGTGCACTCCAAACAAATCCTAAAAATGGCTAAAATGCCCGCTCACCTCTATTAAGTGACCCTGTGGGTCAATACGCTTTTTGGATCACACCAGGATCCTACGATATAGATCTCCTCAATAGCCGACCTCCACACACAGGGTTCCACATATACCATATGAGTAATCCCCTTCCTGGATCGGTAGGCAGGTGGCTTTACTGTCTCCAACTTACTCAGTAAGACTTTGCACAGCTCTCAATAAGATCATGCGTGGCTCCTCTGCTGCCACTTCCACCAATGTCTCCTCTCTATTTCCTCTATTTATTGGCTAGTGTTATTGCTAACTTTTTTTTTGTTGTTGCTGTGCACATTAAGCACATTGCAGTTTTTTCTGGCCTACTAAATTGGCTTCACAAAATGTCAAATCCTCCACATGTACAATGGGTATAAAAAATAATCAACCACCTTTAAAATAATCACATTTTGTTGCTTTGCCTGAAATGAAGACAGACACTATTTTTGTCTTATCCAGCTGTAACTTATAACATCCAAGTGAAAGATATAACACCAGGGGCGAACTGACAACTCATGGGGCCCCCGGGCAATAGCGGATCATGGGGCCCCTGTGGCCTTGCCCAAACTCAAAAAAGCCTATGAAAAAAGTACCAGGGGCATCTCATGGGGCCCCCTACTGATCCCAGGCCCTCGGGCAGTGCCCGAGTTTCCAAATGGTCAGTCCGCCCCTGTATAACACCAACATGTCAGAATTTTTTTTTTTAATTCAAAAACAGAATCACAGAGTCGGAAAAAGGATCACCCCCTTGTGTCAGTATTTTGTTGAACCACCTTTTGCTTTAATTTCAGCGTTTAGTCTGTTGAGATATGTCTCTGGTAACATCTTGCCCACTCTTCTTTGCAGAACTGCTCACATTCAGTTAAATTTGATGGTGATCATTTGTGGACTGTAGTCTTCAAGTCATTCCACAGATTTTCTAAGGGGTTTAAGTCTGAGCTTAAACCCCCTAGCTCTGACTAGGCCATGCAAGGACATTCACCTTTTTCTCCTTCAACCACTGTGTGGTCATTGTCATGTTGGAAGGTAAACCTTCTTCCCATGGACAACTTTCTGGCGGAGGGTAGCAGATTTTCCCCAAGAATTTGACAGTATTTTGCCCATCTATTTTCCTTCTATCCTAACAAGTGCTCCAGTTCCTGCTGCAGAGAAACACCCCCATAACAGGATATTACCACCTCCACGCTTTACTGTAGGAATGGTGTTATTTGGCTGGTGAGCTGTATTAGATTTCTGCCAGACTTATCGTTTAGTGTTGAGGCCAAATCATTACATTTTAGTCTCATCTGGCCAGAACACCTTTTTCCATGTAACCTCAGAATCTGTAAGGTGTGTTTTGGCAAAGCTCAGTTGTGACTGCATGTGGCCTTTCTTGAGGAGTGGCTTTTTTTCTTGCAACCCTCCCATACAAGCTACATTTTTGGAGAATTTGTGATATTGTTGTCACATGCACACAATGGCCACTCTTTGTCCTGCAACTGCTTCAGAGTTGCTGTAGGCCTCTTGGTAGCCTCTCTGACCAGTTTCCTCCTGGCTCTTTCATCCAGTTTGGAGTGACGTCCTGATCCATGGAAGGTCTGTGTTGTACCAAATACCTTCCACTTCTTAATAATAGATTTCACTGTGCTTCTAGGCATTGATAAAGCCATTGAAACTTTTTTTTGTATCCATCTCCTGACGTGTGTCTATCCACAACTTTATCCCAGAGATCTTTTCACAGTGCCTTGCCACCCATAGTTTATTGTTTGCTTCAGTTGCACTACCAAGGACTGAAATGCTCCAGGAAAGCTCTTTTTATGTTGAGCTAATCAAAATGACCACAGCTGATCACAGCTGAAAGTCAGATGACTTTGTGTGCCATTGAAAAGGTGATTTGTTACACCTGATTGAGTTTACAAGTCATTTTTAGGAAGAGAGTGATCCTTTTTCCAATTGAGTGATTCTGTTTTGGAATTTTGTGTTATTTTTTCTGACATGTTGGTGTTATATCTTTCATTTGGATGTTATAAGTTGCACTGAATTTGTCTGTCTTCATTTCAGGCTGCAAAGCAAAAAATTTGATTAATGCTAAGGGGTGATTCTTTTCTATACCCACTGCATATCCTTTACCACATGTAATGAAAGCAGCCTTTCATCCGCTGTCTCTTGGGGTAGTCAGCCCCATATGGTGGTTTTTGTAATGGCAGAAAAATCAAGCAGTTCAAGTTAAAACTGTCTGCAACCAGCTTTATTGCATTCCCACAATTTAATTGACTAAAGCAACATTTACAGCCTCCAACAACTTATACCATGCTTTCACAAGACAAAAAAAAAACAAATTAAAACAGTATTAAACCCAAAAGTAAAGATTTCTTTTATTGCAGCTTACCAATTGTTGGATATGATGGCTGCATTAGTTTTCTTTTTTAGACTTTCGTTCCTTTAATTTCACCTGGTGATCTGGTCAGTAAGTCTGTTGTTTTTCAACAGAACAAGATGTCCTGCAGATGTAGAAATCACAGGGTTGAGACATACTATTTACTATGGACAGGAGTGCTTAAAACGATCAGTTTTTTTTACTTATTTGTTTATGTAATACCTGTATCCCAAAAGGAAAAATAAAAGTTTCTGTAACTGCTTATAAAGTGTTAGCTCAGCTCAGTTCAGCCTTAATTTGTTAGTGTATCTAAATCTGAAAAGGCATCTACCCTCCCCTCTGGTTAACAATGCTGTCCAAAAGGTGCCTCTGTATAGTATATCTAACAGTATTTCAACCCCCTACTACATATGACAGCTACCTTCCTGTTAATGGTTGTTAACCACTTGCCATCCTGAGGATTTATCCCCCTAATGATCAGGCCTTTTTTTTGCTATTCGTCGCTGCACTACTTCAACTGGTAATTGCACGGTCATCCAATGCTGTACCCAAACTAAATTTACATCCTTTTTTTTCACACAAATAGAGCTTTCTTTTGGTGGTATTTGATAACCTGTGAGCTTTTTTTTTTTTTTTATTCTGCGACCACTGCAGTTTTGTGTGCAATGTATCAAGTGACAGTGACCTACTGACACTGCACTTGCTGGAGGAGAAGGGGGAGTAAGCATAGGGGCTAAACGCAAGTGCTGGCAGGTGCCGGGGCTGATCCCGCTAACACTGCTTTTTTGGGGATGCTATACTAATGTGAACACTGTTACAGTGCTGATCTGATCAAAGATATTGATCCGTTCAGACACTATACTAGCAATGGAGGTTTATTGTGTACGTGAGTGTGTTCCTGGAAATCAAGGGGTTAAATGTGATTACTGGTGTACTAACGGGCAATCTGACACTATCTTGCAGGGGAGCTAACTGAAGAGAACACTATCTGAAGTCGCCAGTGACACTAATACAGTGATCAGCAAAAAATCTGTACACTGTACTAATGACACTGGTGACAGGGCAGTGCAGGGGTTAACTAGTGGGCTCGATCAAGGGGTTAAATGTGTCCTAGAGTGTTCTAACTGTAATTGTGAAGTGCTTTTACTCACAGTTTATGTTGATTCTTCTCTCTCTGGGATGGAATGTGCCCACAGAGAGAAGATTTCATGACTTCCTGTCCTGTGTAACTGTCAACACAGGACAGCATAGGACAGGGATCGATCATTCAACTTGGGCTGGACATCACTGGCCTAAATCGAATGACTGATCCCTTGGGGATCAAATCGGGGCACCAGGGGCGGACTGACCATTCGAGCACTCGGCACTGCCTGAGGGCCCGGGGTCAGTAGAGGGCCCCCTTGAAATGCCCCTGGTACCTTTTTTATAGGCTTTTTTAAGTGTGGCCAAGGACACAGGGGCCCCATGATACCCTATTGCCCGGGGGCCCCATGAGTTATCAGTCTGCCCTGCAGAGCACCGGTGGGTTGGCGGGGGCGCACGCGCTGCCCCCCAGGACGCAAAAACTGCAGGGGAGCGAATCACGTGTATATACCTGATCCTGCGAACAGGGGCTGCCCTGCAGCAGTAAATGTACTGTGGGTGGTCCTTATGTGGTTAGGGAAAATAGTGGAACCCACATGCCCTTAGTAACCAATGACATCAACTGGCCCCATTCTTTTTTTTTGTGGAACCCGCATGCCCTTAGTAACCAATGACATCAACTGGACCCATTCTTTTACTAGCCAGGAATCCTTGGCCAAGTAAACAAAGGGTTGGGGAAAGTGCTAACATCATTGACCAGATATTGACAGGACCATATCACGCAGAAGACCCCACTTTTTTGTTTACATTTAGTGGTGGGGCCTGTAGAATGTCATTCCACACGTGTGAGTATCAGGGGTGAATTGTGGCAGTGGTTGGTGGGATTCTTTTTCTTTTGGTGGGTGTGGTTCAAAGTGGATGATGTGGATCTGCATTGCTGCACAAGGTGATGTATGATAGAGGTACGTTGTGGGACATGTTTGGGGTTGTTTCTTTAAACACTTGTTGACCAGCAGTTTAACATTTACTACTGGACAGGACAGCTCTGTTGTTCCCCCGCAAGGGACCCATATGTCGTGAGGCATCTTCTGGGTTGGAAGGGTTCTGCGCCCCCTGCTGCTTGTGTTGTGGTTGGACACAACACATATTTGCCAGCAGTGAACCTGCTAATGGCTATGGCCAACCACACCACAGAGATAAGTGTGCTAGTAAACACACAACACAGATCTGGGTAGTTCTGCCTCTGATCTCAGTTACCATTCAAAGCTAAGATCAGGAAGGAAAGCCAATCTGTGAATAAAATCAGCACACATACACTTGTTTGGCACACAGTTAACCCTTTGATTTCCCCCTGTCCACCTCCATCACCCAGCCAGTGTCATTAGTACAGCGACGGTGATCACCACCATTAGTAAAGTGTCTGTCTGGATCAGTATCTTGGTTACGGTCAGAACTATACTAGTGTCCCCCAAAAACGCAGTGTTCATCCCCGATCACTGCCAGAACTTGCATTCAGCCCCCCCCCCCCGGCACCTCAAGTGCTAGAAACGCATGATTATGCTCATATACAACAGGTGCAGGTACTAGTACTCCACAACTTTTAGGTGATCTGGCAATCACCAGTAACATTTTAAATCCTGGCCTTTTAGACACCAGCACTGCAGTTTTTCATGGTAAAATGCCAAGCACCAGCAGTGCAGTACAAACTGGTGAGGTGGCTAACACTAGTAGCATAATGCAACTGCAGCCAGCAAGAATTTGAGCAACCCATATTCATACCTTGCCAGGCCACTTGAGTAGAAACCTATCACGGTTTCTGATTTAATAATATTTTTGGGGCCTAACCCTTACCAGGAGTATTACAAAAAAATAATGAATTGTGGTCATATTGGTCCACAGACCCAATTCATCATATGCTTCAATGACCAGGAAAAGATGTGAGAACAATGCGTTTTATGCATTTTAATACCCTCATAAATTATTTGTCCCAGTAATTTACATTTTACTGGCAGGCTTGCAAACAAGTAATATCTCTTCAACAAACGTGCCAGATATAAAATGCATAAGATCTGTGAAAGCGCCCCAGGCTATACATACCACTTTAGAATTTATGAGGGAAAATACAGTCAAATTGAGCCCCCCGAATGCCCAGACTATATGGGGAGTAGTGGTAAGATAGTGTGGGACTTATCACCCTTGTTCAACATGGGGTACCATTTTTTAGATGTTTGTTC